TAGGAAATAATAGTACAGACTAGTTTTTAATAGTCTTTTTCTAGCTAATTCAGTCAAAAGTCCCAAATATTCTTTACAGTCAAGCTATTTTGGAGACAGCGTGGGTTTATAGCTTCTGAAAAATCTCATTTAGGTCCAAAGAATAGCTACTTTTTAGTAGGAGCCTGTTAGATCTGAAAGCCGTGGGTGTTCAAACTGGTGAAGCATGTATTCTTGAAATATCCTAGAGACATTATCCCAAAATTTAGGAATTAAAACAATTTATTATAGCATACTTTCTGTGGGTCAAGAATCTGTAAGCAGTTTAGCTGGGTGCCTCTGTCCTAGAATCTTTCATGAAGTTGCACTTTAGTCTGCTTTTTCATCTGAAGGCTTGATTGTAGAAAGGTACACTTTAAGCTGTCACACACAGGGGATCATTTCTTTGTCATGTGGGCCTGTCACATAGCTAACAACATGGTGGCCATTCTGATTCTTAATCCTGTTTATAAAGTCAGACATTTTCTCCGGCTGTGAAAGCTTTGGTCATTTTTTTTTTTCCTGCACTGTACTAGACTTTCACGGGGATGTCCGTTGACGTGGTGAGGATCAAGTGAAGTAATGGCCAGAGAAACACTGTTCTCAAGCATGGTAGATGGTCAGCTGGGGAAGTGGTGGGAACAGAAAGAAAGTATTACATGAAACTGGGAACAGGAGAATCTGGGATGCTAAAAGTGATGATCCTGTTTTATCCTGTATCTACCTTATGTTGAAAACAGCCATATGCCTCCTTAGGAGTTACCAGTCTCCAAAAAATCATCCTATTTCCCTACTAAATTGAAAGGGTTGATAAAGTCAAGGAACCCTACATACCAGTTCATTCTTACTCAGTTGGCCCATAAACCAGTCTCCTTCTCAAACTAACTCAACAACATGGGATTTGTAACCGCTGAATCTGGTACCCTTCTTACTATAGCACCATATGAGTGGTTTTCCTAAAATGAAATTTAATAGATTATGTCTCTTAAATTACAAAAGTACTTCATAAAGTTTTAAACACTATACACTGTTGTTGGATTGCTGCTGTTTAAAGAAACCAAACTTTCCAGTTGTGTAGAAGAAAGTAGTTTAATGATGTAACTTATGAATGAACTGTACAACACTAAGAGAACCATTTTCCTAGTTAACAATACCATATACGTAGTTTCATTTTTGAAGTATTTGCCTTTGGTAATCTGATGATACTGAAGGAAACATACAGTACTCAGTCTCTCCTATTGTATGTACACAGCATAGATCACCCCTGTGATCCCAAAATGTGTGAGGATTTCTCCCCACACTGGTGATCCAGCAGATACCACAGAATGAGCGGGTAAGCCCAGCAGACTGGCTCTCACTTCAGATGCCTGAATTTCGGGCCTCTGAAACTTCTAACCAACTGGTTTCCAATTGGAATTCCCACAACCCCATCCTGGGGTTTAATTAATTTGCTAGTGCAATTCACAGAACTCAATAAAATACTGTATTTACTAGTGTGTTATTAAGAGTAGTTTAGGGCTAGGGATATAGCTCAGCAGTACAAGCACCTGCCTGGTGAGCATAAGGTCCTGAGTTTGATTCCCAGTACAAAAAAAAAAAAAAAAAAGAATGGGTTAAATAAATAACCAGAAAGAAAAATATGTAGGGTGAAGTGTAAAAGGATTCTGAGCCCAGGAACTTCTATCCCAATGGAGCTGGGATAGTCCAACCTCCTAGAACATGGATGAACTCTTATTTACTTTCCTGTAAATCTGCACATGTTCAGCTATCCAGCTCTTCAAACCCAGCCTTCTGTGTTGTTGGTTGTTTTTTTTTTTTTTTTCAGACTTTATGGCATAAACATGATTAAACATGGATAGCCATGTAGCAAGGTGATTGGACACAAAGCATATGGATCTAATGCTAATGGATGGAGTGGGCTAACAGCAAAGCCTGCTCTTTGCCTTTCCCTATAACATTCCTTCCTCCCTCGTATGGCACAGGACCCTTTCTAAAGAGAGGATCTTGTGATCTACTATCACACAAGATAGGTCAGGGAATTCCTTTATGGCCAGCACCAAGACAGAAAAGAGGGAGTAAAAATTATGTTTTTAGTTCCTATAACCTGCCATGAAAAAGAAATTCTAGTTTTTGTGCTGCCTTTGGGAGAAAAAAATGGCCAGGTAAAAGAAGAAGGAAGGAGGGAAAGGGAAAGAGAGAGAGATAAAAGAAAGGAAGAAGGACTGTCTTTCACTTCAGTTGCTTGAAGCCATTCTGAAATAACACAAGGGGAGCTATGAACTGGGAACCATGGGTAAAACCCAGAATACACATATAAAATCACCATGTTGAATTTATGGTAATTTTCTGTTCTCTTTCTCATGAACAAGTACATCCTGCAATTTACTCTGTCTCCTCCACCCAGCTGTTAAATCAGCTGAGTTATTCTTTCTTTGCCTTCTCTTTTTCTATACAACCATGAGCAGCCATTTATTGGATTAAGGCAGATGTTTTAGAAAACTGAACCCTAATTCTCTGTGAATGATTTCCATATTGCTGGGGAGAAATCACTCTGCTGGTTGTAAACAACTGTCAAGTTTTTGGAAATATAATGCAGTATAATCTACCCAGCAAAGTTGAGGACCTTTAAGTTTCTGTGCTTAGGAATACCATGCTTACTTATGGATTTGCGCTGGCATTTCAAGAAGACTTCCTCTATTAATTGTTATCCTGCAAATCGAAGTGCTAAAAATAAAGACCTGTACCCTGTATCTCTCTCTTCTCTAGCCCTGTGTAATCGTTACTATGAATCTATTTGGAATAAACATTGATTCCTTTTGACTCTGTCTAAGATCTATTAAACAGACATATTTTATACTAGGTGACCTTTTTAAATCTATGATGAATAAAATAGATTTTGCTTTAAATGAAATTCTTCTAGAACTACCAGTGAGTTTTCCATTTATTCTTTCCTTTTCACAATTCTGCCTTGTCTTTTGTGAGATAACATTTCTGATGTCCATCCAGATAAGGAAATAATCAAAGCATGTAAATGCTAAAGAAGTTAAAGCAAGCAGTTTTTAGTTTACAAAGAAGCAGCTAAAAACTTTGAAGGGTGTTGACTAAATGGAAACAGAAAAATAGTATGTTAAGAAAGTTTAAAGAAGCCTCAAGGAGAGACTGGGTGGGGATGGAGTTGTGGTAGAAAAGAAATAGGATAGAGAAAGTTGCCAAAGCACAATTAAACCACAAGTATTCATGGAATCCCTAATGTTATAGTGAGTTACAAAATGTATACCTGTCAGTCTTGTTTTTCAGGAGCTGAGAATCTAATTGGAAGGAAAGATACACACATGAAACAGAACAGTTAAGCAGTTAACCTTCTATTCCACAGGTACAATGTAGAGAAGGAAAGTGAGTAAAGACTGGAGTGTTTTTGAAGAATGGTTAAGATTTAGACAAAAGACAATAATAAAACATTGTTCCAAATAGTAACAAAATTATCAAAGTAGATTTAGAAGCCAATATAAGTAATTCTTTTAATATATATACACACAGGAACAAGCTGTAGACAAATTAAAACTAGCAAAAATACTACCACGGCATTAAATAAATGTAATGAATATATTTTATTTATAAAGTTTGGACAGCTGGGCATGGTGGCACATACCTGTAATCCCAGCACTCGCACGGCCGAGGCAAGAGGATCACTCTTGAGTTCAAGGTCAGCCTGGACTACAGAGTAAGACCTTGTCTCAAAAAATTTTTTTTTCTGAGTTAAAATTATTTTTAAATTGTTTTTAATTATGAGAAATGTAATAAAAATTCTTTAAAAAATAAGGAAAAGTTATATATCTCAATAGAAAAATGGACAGTAAAAAAAAACCTCATATCTCAAAATATTCAACCTCAACAAAAATCAAAGAAATTTAAACAAAAAATACAAATTTTTCTCTTAAAAGAATGGGAATTGTTTTTAAAATAATATCTATAAATATGGGAAAACATTTGATACACTATAAATGATAGTATAGCTATATTAACAGAAATGAGAAAAAAACTAGTGGTGAAGGATCATGTGTCATATGATCCTGTTACTATTAAGAATGGATACTTGGGGAATGTGTGTATTATCTGTAGCTACATACACATTGAGGGTGTCAGGGAGGTTGTGTGTACCGCATTGTTAATTATTCAGAACTCTAGATGGTGAGATGATAAATTTTTTTCTCCTTTTTTTACTTATCAACACAATGAACATGTATTACTTTTTGAAATACATTTTAAAGAAAAAGAGCTTGAGAATCACTTAAGGAGCAGGTGGTACTTCCACTGTTTTTTAAGAATATACTTTCTCTTGCTATTTAAACATTAAGAAAGGTGTTTTGGATAGGGTGCAGAGGAATTTAGCATTGGAAGATACCTATTCTGTTCTCCATCCTCCTGCTCTTACCTAGAAAGCTGTGCCTAGCCATTTTATTAATCCTTCAAGAATTGTACATCTTGTAATCTGAAATGATCCCATTTGTTGATTCTCAAAACTGTTGCCTATAGTTTTGAGAATCAAACATCTGACGTTCTGTTCAGAAAGTCCTTGCTACACTTGTTAATTTAAAGACTTTTACCTGCTTTGTTTTCTGTCTTAACATTTAGCTCTTTGATCTAGTTTGATTTTAGTTTACTGGATGGCAAGTGATAGGGGTCTAGATTCAATCCTCTGCATGTGGATAGCCAGTTTTCAAGAATATCTTTCCTCCAATATGTGTTTTGGGCCCATTTGTCTAAGATCAATTAGTTGAGTGGGTTGTTTCTGTGTTCTCTGTTCTATACCATTGATTCTCATGCTGTTTTTATCACAATAGCTCTGTAGTACTGTATAATCTCAGGTCTGGGATGGTGATGGCTCAGAACTTCAACGCTTCTGAGTTAGGATGTTTCAGGTTTACATTTCCTTGATCCTTAACCTTATATTCTTTTTTAACCTTTCTCTTGCTTCTGTTTAGATTCTATCATAATGAATGGATCTAGCATGGCAAATACATCACCCAGTGTAAAATCCAAAGAGGACCAAGGGTTAAACGGGCATGATGAGAAGGAAAATCCATTTGCAGAGTACATGTGGATGGAGAATGAAGAGGATTTCAACAGACAGGTAAAGAAAGAAGTGAACGCCTAATGCTGCATGTAACTCAGCTATGATATTTTACTGTCAGTTTGACAAAAAGAAAAACAAAAGAAATGGGTGCAGTTGGCTTCACAATAATTAAAAAAATACCTGGAGACCTCAGCTGAAATGACCAAGAAGTATCTTCAGGTGCTAAAAGACAAGGCCAAACCAGGAACATACTGATAATTCTCTACCATGCTAACTAAAAGAGAAGAAGAACTATCAAATTAATCAACTGACAGCTGAAAATTCTTACCTGAGCCCATGCAGAACTAAATTCTGTATAATAGTATTTGCACTGTGATATTGTTACACAGTAATTGCCATGAAGAAGCCCTGCTCTCATTTTGAGTAGCTTGTTTGTTAGATTTCTGTAGATGACTGCAAAACATTCAAGGAGACTCCTAGAGTTTAAATTGAATAGACTTTCCCTAATCTTAGAGGTTCAAGGTTCTGTCCTGGCTGCAGCATGGTGTTTGAGTGTGCAAGTGGTTTTGGGGATTGAATGCACGGCCTTCACAATGAGCTGAGTCCTTAACCCTTTTTCAAAAAAATTTTGATATATGATGTCTCTCGAGGGGCTGGGGATTTAGCTCAGCGGCATAAGTACCTGCCTTGCAAGCAGGCGGTCGTGAGTTCGATCCCCGGTACCGATAAAAATGAAAAAGACCAAAAAAAAAAAAAAAAAATGCGGTGGATGACTCTGTGCAGACCTTGGGTAGATGTATGATGTCTCTCTAAGTTTCCCAGAGTGAGTTCAAACTTCCCATCCTCCTGCCTCAGCCTCCCAGAGTGCTGGGATTACAGGTGTGTACCACCATGCCTGCATGATTTCACGTGATTAGTGTGAAATGAACTGTGGGACAATTAGGAACAGTGGAAGTGAATTTTTCTATAGTTTAGGGGTTATTGATTTCTTTTGCATGTAGGAAGTGTGATACTCTGCATTTCATTTTGAAAATGAATGTAGATGTAATAGACAATTAAGAACTGTGAGTGAAGATAAATATGTTTTCTGTGGGGTTTTTGAATAGTTGTGTTTGTCTTTTGTGGTGACCTACCTGTTCCACTCTGCCTTTGTTAGACTCAGACAGTAGTAGATTATGGAAAGCGTAACTGATTTGTCCTTATCAATGGGTTTGTAAGTCTGCTGACTAGGATTTGGACTATTAAGCCAGATGTCTATACTGTGGGTTGACTATGAGCTCCTATCAGCAAACTGGGGCAGGTGTGTGGAAAAGTACTAGAAAGCTAGTTGTTTGCAGAAACATATGCATGTGTGTGCACACACATGTGTGTGCACGCAGAGTTTGGTGAAAAACAGTTTGATAGTCTTAAAAATCATAACTTGGTTGAGGAGAACTAGGGAAACTGACAGCATATCCCTGGCAACTTCAGGATTGCAGCAAACATCAGGCCTTAAGATGGCTGAACAGGTAAATTATTGCTCAAATTTCCCCAACCCTAATGTTTCTCAGGAAACGCTACTTCAACAATGTTATTTTGAACTATTGCATGTGTCAGTGTGGAGGATTGAGTGTTTCAGAGAAGACTTACTTGTCTTTCATTTGAGAACTAGCGAGTTTAAGATTTGGGATTTGAATGATAACAGTTTTCCCTGTACCCTGGTAGGTTACTTTATTTTCACTATGGTGAATTATGGGGTTCTTATTACTATCAAAGTGTTTCATCTTATTATTTTTTCTTAGATATTTTATTGGAAAGTCAACGTACATACTGTATCAGGGTTGCTACCTAGAATTAATTTTTTTCTCCTTAAGATTCAACTCAAGACATGTATTAAAAAAAAAAAAAAAACAGAACAAACCTTGGAACCCCTAAAACTAAGCAGGCTAAATGACAAGGATTTGCCAAATATGAATTAAGGAAGCCAAGTACAATCATACTAAAATATGCAAAGATATTCATTGCGTGTGAGGCTGAGAGAATTGGATGGAAGTGTAGTTTTCAGAGGAAAACGAATCAACTCTGCCCTACTTTCCTGTTGCTAAGACATATTACCTGATACCCACAACTTAAAGAAAGAGAGGTGTATTTTGGCTCAGCTTGTAGAGATTTCAGTCTATAGTTGGCTGTTACCATTCTTCTGTCTACCTTGTGGAGAGATATGAAAACTGATGAATTTTCAAATCTTATTCTGTATTTCTAACAAGGGTTTTGGTTTTGGTTTTGGGGTGAGGTTTTTTTGGTTTGGTTTTGTTTTCTTACTTTAAGCCTCTGTCATTTTCTTGTGAAAGTCTAGTAAAAGTCACAATAGGTATATTCCAAATTGTCAGTGACATTCTTCCATGTCGGATTGTTGAAATGAAGGGTGACCTCATGATATTTATAGTTCCAATTTCCAAACTCTTATAATAAAGAAAATGGGTTACTGCTACAATAAAGAAAATAGGTTCATGTGGTAAAGCCTTAAAACAGAAACTTCAAAAGTCAAATGCTTCAGAAAGGGAATATATAAAAGATACGGAAGCCCAGAGTTGTAACTCAGTGGTAGAGTGCTTACCTAGCATGCACAAGGCCCGTGGTTCAGTACTGTGTGTGTGGTGGGAAGGTGATTAAAAAAAGAATTGAGAGAGAAAAAAATCCAGAAATGTTCAAATACAAAGTCATATTAAATCTTGTGGCTTGGAAATATTTTGCTGTCGTTATTTTAAGAACTTTGTAACTATATAATTTACTTGAGATTAATAAAATGTGTGGCCAACTGTGATATGAAATACTTTCTTTAAGTCTTGCTACAAGTGATTTTTCTTCTGAATTTATGAGTAACAGTAGGCCAATGTGAATGATTTTTTCGTTGATCTCCCAGCTGGTAGTGGTGCTGGTGAACTGTAACTCTGTGACCAAGCAGGCTGACAAAAAGGAGTTACTAAATATGAATTAGGAAGTCAAATAAAGTCATAGAAAATCTGCAAAGTGAGTGTGGCATAGTAGTACATGCATGTAATCTCAAGCATTCAGGATGCTGAGACAGTAGAATGACAAATTCAAGGCCAGCCTGAACTAGCTAACAAGACCCTGTCTCAGAAAATCAAAAAACAAAGCAAAACAAGAAACTTTTATAATGAACTGTATTCTCAGAAGTGTAAAATATACTAGGTTTATATTACTTTAATTTGAAATATGAAGTTGTTTATATATTTATGTATTTCTTATTTTGAAAGAATACTACATTGATGACATACTTTTCTAGTGATACACCAAAAAGCCATTTTATATCTTTCTAAGGTTCTAAAAATTTGTAGTTTTCTGCGTTAGAGGTGTCATTACTAGAAATGAGCATTGGTTTTGGTTTAATCTTTACTACCAAGTAGTACTTACATACTATCTGTCTCTTATTTGTATACTTCCCACAAAATGGGAAATTCAGAGTTCCTTCTCTACAAGAAGGAAAGAATTTCAAGCTATAAACTGACTTTCTATTATGAATGGAAAATATCTGTGTCAAATATTAGAGGTCTTACAAGATCTGTAAAGATCTATTCTGCTATTTTGGGTAACTATTTCTTCAGCCAGTTTAAAAAAATAAAATTTGTTTTGTCTAGCCAGTGATTAGAAGCATGTTAATTCTTAGGATTTATGAGATCGTTCTTAGTTGCAGAGTAATAACCTCTGGGGGAAAGGACTGGGGAAAACCCTTGAAGGGGTGAGTTCCCTGGATTAGTACACCTGACCTGCTCTCCTTGCCTGCCAGGTGGAGGAGGAGCTACAAGAGCAAGACTTCCTGGACCGCTGCTTTCAGGAGATGCTAGATGAGGAGGACCAAGACTGGTTTATTCCAGCAAGAGACCTGCCTCAGGCCGTGGGGCAGTTGCAGCAGCAGTTAAACGGACTGTCAGTCGGCGATGGCCATGATTCTGAAGATATTTTGGTAAGGACCGTGGATAATCCCACGTGTGATGTAGTAAAAAGAATGTGGGGTCTGGGGTCACAGATTCTCTCTCTGGCCTCACAGCCTGTGGCAGGTTTTCTCCGCAGCCATGTCAGCTGCTGCTTCTCTACTGCTCAGACAGGCATTGATGAGCGGTGAAGGTGTGTTGCTTCTTGCAGAGCACTGTGTAAGGAATAGTGTTGCCCGTGTCACCAACTTTAATTTTCTACCGTTGAGCTTTCCCAAGAACTGGGAGAAGGACAAAATTTTTCAGGTTTAGTTTCAAATGATCATCTGCTGCAGTCCTCCTCTTCTGTCCTCCAAATCTGTATTTAGCATACTCTACTTCTGATTCTTTTATAAAATTATCTGTTTATTTTGAAAGGACTATGCTCCCCTGAGAGGCCATTTCTGCTTATAATTAGAGCAGATAAATGAGTTCCCTGCTTCCATGTGGTGTAGAATTCTGTGAGCAGTGTAGTCCTCATACCAATGGTGTTCAGAGTGGTTGTGACTGTGGTTTTCCCAGGTTTGAGGTATTTGTAAGAGACTGGATACTAAAGAGAGTACAGAAAGCTGGAGAAAAACAGAGATTGTGGTGATTTGACTAGTTTTATGTAGTGCCCCGATTTTCACTAGACTACTGTATCAGGGAACTGAAAATTTCTTTTTGGACTTGAATTTAGAGGCCTCTGATAAAATTTTGGAAAATATCATGAAAGGAATGGAGTCTAAAGCAGGAGGCAGAAAATGGCTTGTTCAGGGCTGGTGTTGCTGCTGAGAGCAGTCCAGTTCAAGTTACAGGAAGTTTCTTTTTCTGTCCACTGAAGGCTAAAGGGAAGGTTCTGCCAGTAATGGAAAGGGGCGGGGTGGCCCTGGGCTTGATCCCCAGCACTACCAAAAAGAAGAAGAAGCAGAAGAAAGGGGAAGAAAATAAGTTGTTAAATGTAGATTGCCTTGGAATTTATTATCACATTGGTTTTCTTTCTTGTTTTGTTGTTTGTTTGTTTTCCTCAGAGCAAAAGTAACCTGAACCCAGATGCCAAGGAGTTTATTCCAGGAGTGAAGTACTGATTGCAGAGAAAAGCTTCGAGGAGGACTTAGCTGTTCCCACATCTGGGGATAGTAATGCACAAAAGGGCGGAGCTGAAGAGGGGGTGGGTGGGCAAGGGATGCGCAGCGCGATGGGGAATAGTGGATTAGATGGATACTGTGACTCTGAGTAGCTGATGTGCTCAGTCTTACTACAAGCCTTTGAGTATTTATTTCTCTTTGGTTCTACTGACTTTCGTTTGGAGCACTTTCCTGTTTTGTTTCTAATTAGCTCTTTTGAGTTAAGGAAATTGTAATTTTTTTTCTTTTGTCAAGAATGGCCTGCTGTCTGTATTTAAACGAAATAAGCTGACCAAGCAAAGCAGGGTGTTGAAGAAACACCCTTCTCATCTATTGCATATCTACCAGGAGCAGGGAATGTCTACTTGTGGAGTCTAATAAGCTAGATAGGAAGAGGGGAAAGCTGAAGAAGCAGATCACACAAACCAGAATAGGAAGCCCCGCTGCCGTGCCCCTTGGGGTTTCCACAATGCCCTGGGATTCTCAGCGGCCTGCTGAGCCCCTGTCTTCCTGCTCTAACCCCCTTTCCAGAGTTACAGTTCTTGGTTTATGGTAGCTCTTTGATGGTTGGTGAAGGTTGTAAATCAGAGAAAGACTGTCATATTGATTGTCACTTCAGTCATTTAGTAACTGTTGTCCTTTTCTTAAGCCTCTGTTTACAGCTATCATTAGACCATTACTAAGTGAAAGGGGATTTAAGGTTGATTTGCCATCTTGATGCTCATAGTATCTGTTCCCCTTGATTCTTTTCCAGCCCAGGCCTATTGTTTCTAAGCAAAATGTTACCAAAAATATAGGAGAGGCCTTCTGGCCTTAAGAAATCATCCTAATCCTGTTTGATGCATCTTACACTTATTAGGACAACTTATTATTGCTATTTAGCAACCCCATCAATACTTGGTTCTCCTGGTATCTTAATTTCCTCAGAAAGGTTTAGGTACTTTTTTTTTAGGAAAATACGTTTTTCAGGACACTAGCAAGAAGCTCATTACACAATGTGTATGCTTCTCTTCACTTTACAGAATTATGCAAAAGACCTCAGAAATGACTTAGAAGTCCTGCTTGGCCCACGTGGCTGAACCTGATCCTAGTAGATAGATAAAGCTATTGTCAAATGTTACTATTCCCGCACACTGTATTTTGAATTTTTTAGGTTGACTCTGTGCCTGTTGTCTTCCATGCCTATAACTCACTGAGGTTTTTTGTTAATACTCCCAAGGACCTAACCTGGGCACTAGGAGCTGCCTTTGTGTACAGAAATGTAGATGGCAGTGTCGTGTGTGAAAGAGAATGTGTCCAGTTCTGGTCATTCTCTTAAAACAAAGACTTGTGGAGGCCAGAGAAGGTAGTGACCTTTGTATGACTGCTGCTAGGGTGTGTGATACGCTTATAAGGGAAAAATCATGTAATTTGAAATAAAGTCAGTCTGAGTTCAGGATGTGGATATAAGACAGAAGTTGGAAAGAAAGAACTAGGGTCTAGAAAGCAGAAAAAATTCTTGTTCTTATGAACCCCTTCGTTGACTTGTGTTTTGCAGTACCAAGGATAGAATCCGGCCTTGTACATGCTAGGAAATCTACTTTACCCCTAAAGTATACCCCAGCCCTTTGTTGAGTTTTTTAAACAGGTACAGACTAATGCCAAATTCAAAATATAAGCCTATATCTTTTCTCAGTCAGACTAAAAGGTGGCATCATTAGGTCATATGACATAGGGTATCTTAGGGAAATTGCATTGCCAGGCCTGCATACTAGTTAATTCCCAAAGCCTCTGACTGGAGAGAATACAACTTAATTCTTTTTCAAGGAGGACCCTGAATAAAGAGACATCTTTATTCTGTTGCCTCTACTAAGGAAAGGGCATTTAAAATACATAAATAGAGGAAATCTTTTACCTGGGTTGCTCTTCCTGCCCCAGTCTCCATTAGCCAGCCAGGATGCTGAAAGCTGTTGGCAGTGTGTTAGGGTTGCAGGAAGAGCCTTTTGCAAGACGCTGGGTGTCTTCATCACAAAGAGTATAAAAATGAACTCTTGGTACCCCACCTGGAAAGCCCTACAGGGACCCAGAGTGGCCGTGTGCCCATCCTGAAGATTTGCTCTTTAGATCCAAGAGAAGCTAATCTCAGTGGTCCAAGAGGGCTCATCTTGCCCTCTGTTGTGCTGGCCCATTTTGGATGTCAGTCTTCAGCATGATTTCACAAAATAAATTTGGTCAAGACTAAGACCACTCTGCCAGATGACCTGGGACCTGTGGGCTAGAGTCTCCTCTCCTACTCAGATGGGCACAGTGCTGACTCCAGGATCAGGAAGCAGCTAGCAAGGTGACCCCTTGTTTAATGAATAGGAGAACTGCCTTCAATGCTTCTTCCTATGGCCCAATTCTTTTGTATCTAATTTATTTTGTGAAGTAGCGACACAATTGTCCTACAGGTCTCAGGCTCACCTCTAAAGAGTTTGCTAACTGGGGCTGGGGATTTAGCTCAGCGGCATAAGCACCTGCCTTGCAAGCAGGCAGTCGTGAGTTCGATCTCTGGTACCGATAAAAACAAAAAAGACAAAAAAAAAAAAGAGTTTGCTAACTTCCTAGCAAAAAAGTCATGTGGGTCTTACACGCATTTCACCAAGAAGGGGCTGGGCTTTCCAACCCAACCTCTGACTTGTCTTTATACTGGAGGTTCTGAATGTAAGCCAGCCTGGACATTTTTGCCCTTTAATGATGAAGCTTGTATTTTTGAGTGACAATTTTGATGCTGAATTTAAGCCACTATTCTTATTTTGTTTTGGCAACTAGAAGTTTGAGAATTTATTTAGAAATGGAACATGGATTTTTAACAGTTGCCATATTGGCTGATTCCTGTGTTAGTTTATTAGTGATTAATTTCTGATTTGTGATTATTTGATTTGAAAACTCTAAGATGGAAATTCTTTTTTTTCAAGGAAAAGAAAATTAAAAGAATGTCATTTGAGTATCTTCAGACCTTTGAACTGCAACAGAAAATTGGAGGATATAACCTAGCTCTGGGCATATACTCTGGGCCAGTTTCTGTCAACAGTAGGTTGACTTTTGAGTGTCATGTAAAGGTAGGTAAGAAAAGGTCATGAAGAAGATGCTAGATCTTTGTAAAACTTTAGTATCCAAAGTCACAGCTGAGATATCTTTAATCAAGGTTATAAGGCTAACTATGGCTTAAAAGTAAATGTTTTTAGTGAAATTCTAAGCACTTTCCCCAAATTATTTATTGCAATAATGTCCAAGTTTTGTTCCAGAACCCACCCTCTGGTGATTGGTGGCATAGGCCTCTTCAGTAAGGGTTCTGGCATTCCAGCCTAATAACCTTGCTTGACTCAAGCAATACTGAGGTACAAGAATTAGCAGAAAAATGACAAAGTTGACCAAGATTTGGAAATGTCCATCTAACTGGGAAAGACTGTGTATTCCCAACCACTTTCCTCTAAGATAATGTAAACATCCTTATCTTGACGAGTGTGTAAAGGAAACCCATGAAATGACCCTGATTTGGTGTTTATTGAGACCCTTTATCGCCTGCCACTCTTTTCACTCTTCACGGCCGATACGGATCATTGGTTCTGCTGGTCACTGTGTGTGGTACAGTGTGTGCTCTGTTCCCTGTGGGTTTCACCCACAGACTCGGTTAGTCATAATAACCCCGCCATCTTCTCCCATACTGAGAAATTATGGAAGAAGCTTTCTGCTATTGTGGCAGAGACGGGGAGCAGAAAATCTACCCAAGGAAACACCCATTTCTTTCATACTATTTGGCCTTTTGCCCTCACTACATAACTCTCTACTGCTGCTGCTAGTCTCGTTTTTAGGGGATTTTTGAGAATAGGATATATGGACGCATTGATCTTCATAGGGTGACAACCAAAAGATACATACTTCCTGCTCCCAGACAAAAGGAGAGACATCTCCTAAAGGAAGGTAAAAGGAAGGTACACCATCTTTATTTTACAAACTCTTTTAAGCTTCCTTAGACTTTGTTACCAAGGATCTCATTGTAAGATTTCATCAGCTTTCTACTTTTTAACTAGCTACCTTTTATTTAAAAACAGTAAACATTTTTAGACTATTTAATACTTCTTTAAAATGAAGTGATTTTTTTCCTTTTTTTTTCAGTGCTGGGAATCAAACAGGGCCTTGCACATGCCAGGCAAGCACTCCACTAATGAGCTATATCCCCAGCCCCACAATAATAAACGTTTAAAATATTTTACTATTTTATATTTAGTAAAATTATTTTCTATAAAATTGTAAGATGTTTCCCCTCTATCAATTAACACAAAGTCATAGCCCTGGCCTGTTGTAAACTTTTAAAAGTATTTAATGCTTGACAGGTAGTTGGTAGGCAGGGAGTCTTTTTTTTTTTTTTTTTTTTGGTACCCGGAATCAAACTCGGTACCTCGCACTTGTCAGGCAGGCACTGTGCCACTGAGCTATCTCCCCAGCCCAGGGAGTCCTTTTTTAAAAACAATTTTAATGATGCATATCTTATTATAACATTCACACATTTCAAGAGTACAACTTAGTAGTTTCAGTAAGTTCGTCAGTGGTGCAGCCATAACCATTACTTAGCTTTAAAGATAAGATCCTTTATGCTCAGTTAGTCAGCCCTGGTTCCCATCTCTGAATGTTTCTGTAAATTCACCTTTTCTGGACATTTCATGTCAGAGGAATCACTATGTGCTATCTTGTATCTGGTTTTTTTCACATATCATGTTTGAAGGCTTATCGATGACATGTCTTGGTGGTTCTTTTTGTGACTGAGCAATAATATCCCACCAATGGGTATGCCATTATATCAGCAAAGAGCCTTTTAAGCTTGGATTTCAAAACTTCCTGTGGTCTAAATGGAAGCCTCTGTACATAGGGCTCCTTAGGGGGCAGCTACTACGGTGTGTCAAAGAAAATTCCTTTTCAGAACCAGCTTTGCCATCAGAAGTTCCATAAAAGGAAACTCAATTGCTGCAAAACTTTTTGTAATTTTCAACTTCTTTTTTATAAGAAACTTTTGTGCTATCTGCTACATGTCAGGACTTTAGAAGCATCAGATCCACTCAATAACAATGTGCTTGAGTGGACAAGAAAGTAAAACCATCGGTACTGGGTTGGATATTTCTTTTTCTCCTAGACTGGATAGGGGAATCTCTGAACTTCCTACAATGTCATGTCTCCATTTACAAAACTGACCATGTATTAAAAGTCATATTGCCTGTGTTGGACACATTTGGAGGGAAAGAGCGCCCACACAGGTGGAGAGGAGAAAAGGAGTGGAACTTGTGGATGCCCCAGAGGGACTGTGCATGACCCAGAGCTGCGGTGTGGACGTGCCTGAAATTGCTGAAGTACGACCCAGGCAGCCTGGCCCCAGCTGGCTTAGGTGTAGACTCATGTTTCTGCTTCACAAGTGTTAAAAGCTGTTTATTTCCCTCCTAAATAAACATTATATGGCAGTTACTATTTTGGGGAGGGAAAGGGATTTAAAACAAAGTAATTTTCATAAAAGTATCAAAAATGGAAAAATGTTACATTAAAAATTGCTATACAAACCGAATGGCAGCTGTTGGAAATCTCAATAAAATGAGAATAAAATGCACTGGCTAGCAGTGGTGTCCTTTTCCTAAGGTTGGGTCACTATGTATCATCCTTCTATAGGAGAAATGTGTAGTGAGATTTTTTTCTTTTTTCTTTCTTTCTTTCTTTTTTTTTTTTTTTTGTCTCAAGGTAGATCAGTTTCCCTTGTACATTTTCCTTCCAAATAAGGTTACTAAGTGGTAAAAGAGTGGCTTGGAAGTCAGAGACTTGAATTAATTGCACTTTCCCAGCCTTTCTTGGTGCTCTTGGTCTTAAACTTTATTTCTAAAGGAAAAACACTGCCCTGGGTCTACCATGAAAATCAGAATTTTAAAATTTTGGTGCATTAAAGGCACTTAACACATGGTAACTATTAGTGGCAATATTTATTTGGAACAAAGTGGTGATAGAAGAATCCTTGGGCTACATGGAAAACAATAGTTATTACTCTATTTTCCTGTTTTGGGCAAAATGACCTCCTATTTAGAAAACAAGGAAAAGGATTGCATATCTGCATGTTAACCATGGAACAAATTTGAGAACGTGCTACACACCAAACATCATTTTAGGCACCGAGGCTACTGGAATAACAAGCAGACACAGGCCCTGCTATTGAGATGTTTAGTGATTTTTACACTTATTTCAATTTATACCTACCTTAGACTCTCCCAGTGATCTCAGGAGACCTACCATACAGTAAAAAGACTATGGGGCCAAACTAGGGACTGTGAGTTTTGTTTTGAGCCATGTTACTGCCTCCTTCCCAAATCCAACAAGACAAATATGGGCCGATTTGCCTATTTATACTTTTTAGATATTCATATATATATGTCTGAAATAAACATCTTTGGGGCTGGGGATTTAGCTCAGTGGCATAAGCGCCTGCCTTGCAAGCAGACAGTTGTGAGTTCGATCCCCCATACCGATAAAAAAAAAAAAAAGAGCTCTGTCACTGAAATAAACATCCTTGAATACTAGATGGTGTACTTAAAAAATTTTACTGATATTAAATGACATATAATGCATTAGAACCTAGATATTTTAAGTACATTTCTATGAATTTTCAAGTGGAAAGAGTACATTCATTTTTAGTCCTTGGAGCATTCCTCATACCTATAAGATATTTAAGAAGTGTCAGCAGAGTAGACAGAGCTAATGAGACTGTGCTGTCCATGAGGTCATATAAGTAGATAAAAATTTCTTTTCCTCGGTATATATTAACAAGGTATTGTAAGTGAGCTTTAATATCTTCAACAAACAAGTTGAACTCACTTTGATCATATGTACTAGAACAAACAAAACAAGGGAATTTCCTGGCAGCTCAGTTCCCAGGAAGAATGAACTATTAGTAACTGCCTACCTAACAAAAGCCTCTTTTAAGTCTTAGCTCTTACTGTAAGCTTCTCTTGTCACAGGACTGTTAAAGGGATGCCTCAGTAGTGCAGTATCCCATGAATTACTCTTGATACTGTTGGATGAATACAAATTTTAATAGGGTAAAATGTGAAAAAAAAATTTATGATTTTATGCAAAGCAACCTGTGTAACAGAGTCTTACCAATTAGAGAATAAAGCAGCTCATCACATCCACTCGACATGACAAGAACACATCTGACCTTACACATTTTAAGACTGTCTTTTGCCGGGTGGAGGGGTGTTTAAAGATACAGCGTTGTGGTGGACCACCTGCTTGGCATGTATGAGGCCCTAGGTTTGTACAGGGGCAAAAAAAAAAAACACTTCATTTTCTCAAACATTTATTCAACCACATATACTTGAACTAAAAAGACAGCTGTTTGCTCCACTGTCCATTGGAATTGCAGCTTCTAGGCAATTGTAAGGAAGGAAGATAGATGGCCACAAATAGATGGCAAAGAACATGAAGTCTATCTCAGTATTTATGAAGTCTAGGCCAAAACACTGCTCGAGCCTAATCTTGAGGCTCGAACCTCAAGACTAAAAATCTTGTTAAAAAATAAGACTTCAGGAAGGGTTTTGTCCAAGGTTTAGAGACCCAACCCCAGGTGTTGGTCTATGTTAGAGTTAAAAAATAAGACCACCCAGCTCACCACTCATCTCCACAGTGTTAAGAGGACGAGATATAGCAGAGGTACTTCTGGTGTGTCCTTGTTCACTGCAGGCTGGAGACTTGCTGAGTGCTGGGCCTCCACAATTGAAGAGGCAGAGATGTTTACTATCCCTTCAGCAAGGACTTGGCTTGAGTTCTTATTGCTCAAAGCTCTAGCTTGCTGATAGGATGAATGCTGTGGCCATTCTGGTCTGTATGAATGCTATACTGAGTAAACAGCCTTCTGACTTAGGGAACAAGGTAATATGTATGACCCCGTAGAGGGCCTAGTCAGAACTCAAAAGCTATTGTGTCAAATTCCCTCAAATACAGTGCTGGATATCTGCAGCATAAGTTACCCAAGCAGTTTAATAGAAAATAAAACTCATGGCTGGGCACACTGGTTGCCTGTAGTCCCAGATTGAACCCAGGAGTTCAGGCCAACCTGGGCAACACAGCAAGATCTTACTTTTTTTATTGTTGTTGCTAAGAAAAAAGAAAACTCACCTGTCTCATTCATCCTTGACCACTTGAGGAGAGAAGGAAAACAACAGAAAGCTGATTTTAAAATCAACCCCAGAATTGATGCACATGTTTGAGAAATGATATCCAAGACATGATCCATGCCTTCTATTAGTCAATACTCCGGACCCCTGTAGAGGCAGCCACTATGGGTCAAGAGTGTCTTTAGCATCAAGCTAAAGAACAGGAAGCTTTAGGCTTGTCTTTCTTGGTCAAACTACAGAAACCAGGGGATGGGAATCATGTCTGCTCCTCACTGATGCTCACTATTTCCAGGACCACAAATATTCAAAATGCCATGCTTTAACCAGGACAGGAGCAGCCAGGAACAGGCAGGTGTCTAGGTGACCTCAGATCTCCTAAGAAAGAATTCATTCACATGAAAAGCTGCAACCCACCACTATCAAATCCAGTGAGGTAAATGCTCCCAGACTAAAACTGTACCATCCCCTAAATCTCCCTGGGAGCTGCAGGTGAGTGATATTCTTGAGATTATTCCTAGTGAGGAGACTACTTAGTTCTATTAACTGGAAAAGCAGGAGTCATCACCCACTTTGACAGGAGAAAACTAAGGTCCCAGGTTAACTGGCAGCCACACAGACTATATGTAACACTGGGAATATGCTGGAGTGAATTAGCTGCCCAAGAGTACAATAAGCAGATGCAATCACAGACCAACACCTGGGGTTGGGTCTCTAAACCTTGGACAAAACCCTTCCTGAGCCCTCTGGGATAACTGGTAGAACATGAGTGCTTGACACAGCATGGGTGCTTGACAACACAATTCAACTGGGGACTGGTTAAAGTGCTTTTATTTTCTCCTATAAACTTTTTCTTTAAAAAAAAATGTCTCCCTTCTAGCATCCCATGTCCAGTGGGTATGGAAAGGGTGCAGCCAGGGCCAGCCCCTAGGAAAAAGTGTGGGAGTAGAAGGCAGTGGCATTGACACTGTAGTCCATAGGGAGGAGGTGCCCAACGTGCCTGGCCCCTAGGATGGCCCCACCCAGGGCGGAGGAGTGCCTCAGCTTCATCAGCGTGAAGCCAGAGAAGGAGTTCTGGGCCTGGAGCTCTCTGCCCTCGGTCAGTGCTGTAAGGAAACCTGGGAAAAAGAACGTAAGGGCAGAAATGAGACAAGATCAATGGCCTATAGGGAGAACTGAGAAAGGAGGAGACAAGATGCCTGGGCATTTCTGTGAAGGTGCTGAAGGGGCCCACATGCCAAGCTTCCAGCACATAGGTGTATGGACCAAGAAACAGCTGTGGGTCGGGGCCAACAGCCTCATGACCTGACTTTCTCTCAGCTCCTGAGCAGGCCATGCCAGCAACTTCACTGGGGGCCCTTAAGCTACTGCAGCATGTCAAATGGGAACATGCAATGGACTGAGAGAAGGCTGCCAGGCTAAGAAGTCGTGCTTCTTTTCTTTTGGCCAGGATTATGTTGGTAGAGGATATCACCACAGATCACCACAGGCTGGGCAGAGCTCTGATTCTCAGTTAGACTTGACTCTTAAAAAGCAGTTACTTAATAAATCATTTGTTTTTTTTTTAAAGAGAAAAAATAAAAATAAAACCCTTTCAAAACAGGTTAGTAGGAGTTACAATAATGAATACATTGCATATTGTTGTCTTTGTAGTAGTTATTCAGAGTACAAAATATAGGCATGGTATCTTGTCCAAACAATATTAGCACACATCTTTCTTTAAAATTTACTGAGAGAAAATAGCTGTATTAAATGTATTTTTTTCTTTTTCCCTTTCTTCCTTTCCCCTTGCCCCCATCACAGTTTCTTTTCTTTAGAATAGCTTCTTCCCAATTCATATCTATTGTATATTTTGGATTTTACTTATTCATTCAATTTTTCACACTAGTGAGGCAATATGAAGTTTACCACATATGGGTCTGATTTATTTCACTAATAAAACATCTTTTTAGGAATTTAAGAAGCCGGGGGTATTAAGTGGTAGAGACATGCTCAGTATATAAAAGGCATGGGGTTCAATCATACCAAAATAAATACAATCAAGAAGTTGGATGGGGCATAGTAAAAAGGCTCAATGGCACAGTGAAGGCTTAAATAAGACAAGTGGTATGATTTTAGGGCTTTAGGAGGATTAAAACCTCCTAAAAGCTGAGTTTGAGACTCTAAAGGCTAAGGCAAAGACTTTTTTGGACTGCCCATTTTTATTAGGTCCAAACAAAGATTGGGGAAACTGGGAAAGTGCAGGCAATGAACAGGACCTTGGGAGTCACTTTAAAGACTTTTCCAAGTAGTAAATTATGCCAATTAAGTAGAACCATTGTATTCCATGATGGCATTTATGGTAGGAGTGAGACTGTAGGAGTGAGACGCCTGTAGCTGTAGTCTTTATCTGTTTAACTGATGTTTGAGCCAGCTGTAGCCTTATTTTGTCTTTTGAGGTATCTGTGGCATT